CTCTAGGGCGATTCTTTCGGATGGCCGTCACTAAAACGAATCATCGGTCTCTTTCGTGTTTCACACCATCACTCTCTTGTCATCACCTAGAAGTATAACATACTCCCAGGTCGCCGAGTTTCGCTGTGCCGAAATTCTTGATCATCACGTCTCCGCAACGCATCCCGACAGCACTGTACATCATGATGGCAAGACATTCAACGCACACCGTCAGCTCAGCACATCATCGTTTCACCAAGCGAACAGATGATAGCTTTGAATCCAAACTCCTCTCTTCATGCAACAAAGCCTTCGGGTGCACGAGCCATGCCGAACCCCTCCTCATAGGCAGCAGCATGGATCGTGGAGGACACTGCAAGGTTCTGCTCACTAAAGTAGCCCATGCTCCCGACATCTTCAGGCGACGTGAACGGCGTTGCTGCCCGGAAAGCCAGTTGCGTGAACCTCTTGCTAAGGGCAGCAGAGCAAGCAGAATCCACTAGTCACTAGTCTGCTTCTTCCAATTATATGCTGTATTACATGCTGGATTATATCCAAGGTGCTCGTTTCTTCCGACAGGGCTGTCCAGGGCCACGTGGCAGCGCACTTCGGCGGAGCATGGCCTCACAACGTCGCCTTGGACGGTTCGTGGGACACCGTCAGGGCCCGGGCCCAGAATCCCAGTGCCTTCGCCCTCTGCACATCCGGCGAGCTGACGCAAAGACTCGATGAAGCTGGAAGTGCGGTACTCAAAGGATACGTGGTAGCCCAACTGCTCCTCCAGCAAGATAGCGGCGATCCTCATAGGCGTCTTCGGATTTCATGCATGAGCCCCGTACTTCGCATCTGGCGGTCTCGTACAACTGTCACGGCCATCAATGCCATCACCACCATCAGTGCCATCACTGCGAGAAAACGATATTCAGTCATCTACTGGTGTATACTGGTGTCTACTGGTGCTGGTGCGACACGTCCTGCACCTTGGCGATTCGTCTATGCAGAAAACACTTGGAAGCTTGATCTTAGTTAGCATCACCTTCACCATCATAGAGACCTAAAAAAATCATAACATCTTTTCGCAAAGGGGAGCTACCAACTGTCACCGCTGCGGACCATGATTCATCTTGAATCTTATGAGCAGCCGCTTCTGCGGCGAAGCGATGCTCTGGACTCAACTCTTACTGTATCTGTGACGACTCAGGGATTAGCTGTCCGAGCCTTGAATTGAACTCTCACTGTCAGTGCTCGCAATGGACTAAACTTTCCGAACTCCGAGAGGAGGTGGATGGCCTGCCCATGGCCCGCCTTACCTGTCTGCCTAAAATCGATTTTGACACAAGCCGGGGCTCTGCGTCACCAACCGGGCAGAGGGCCAGTCGTACTCCAAAAGGCCCAAAGCCAGATTCTGCCCATCGCTGTCCTGGCAAACCCAGTGTTGAACCCAGACCCTAAACAATTTTCACGAAATATAACTGCCACATGCTGCCACTGTGCAGAGTCTCGACAGGACCACTTACAACGATTGGCAAAGGGCAACTTACGGATTATAAACTCTACTTATTAAGGGGTATTCATCATATCAAAGAGACCGTCCTGCAGGTAGGATCGATTCTCAGGCGGCAGTCCGCTCTCCAGACAAGTCGAAGCTGCAGAGCTGGCGACCCCTGAAAATCCGGGTTTGATGGCTTTGGGTTCAAGGGTTCAAGGGTTTAGGGTTTAAGGTTTAGGGTTTAGGGTTTTTATGGTATAGGTATTTAGGAGTTTTTTTTTTTTTAGCGCTCTTTTCCGCCTGCACGTGTGATACGACCTACGGAAGCCTCCTTGAGGCGAGCGAAATCGGCTCCCTCATGTACCTCCTCTTACAGGGAGGAAAAACACGAAAAAAGTCGACCCCCGGCCATCGCAGACCAGGCCATGCACACGGCGGAAGATTCTCAACGCCGCACATCAAACACATAACCAGAAATCGAACGTAACTCAAACAAGGGCTCGTGAAACATCCCTCAGGTCACCCGTTTTAGATAACCACTTCAGAAAACTGTAGCATTGCATTGGACTCACAGCTCAGTCATGCTCATGTTAGACCGTGATATGCAGAGTCGCAGCTTGCTCAGATGGTCCATCTTGATACACACAGACATCCTTGACAGAGGAACGCCAATGGCGGCACCAGGGCTCCAAACCCTGAATCCAAACATGCACCATTGAACTTGGGTGCTCTCTCGACCGCCATTGATGCCACCACCTCTCTTCGGAGTGATGCACTTGCCTGTGCTTGTACCTGGTAGACCAGTTGCCAAAACCATTGTGGCTTGCATACCAGTTGCGCCCCCATCCGGGTTTCCATCCATGACGGTTCCATGAACGCCTATACCAGCGCTTCCGACCCCAATCTCGACCCCAACTGTTGCCCGTGTCTTCCAAAGTAGCAGTGCTGTCATCCTCATCATCATGGCCCTGAGCCTCGGCCCGAGCATGGTCACACAGACCAACATATTCTGCCTCGGACAGCCCATTTGTGAAAGCAGTAGTGCCTGCTGCCACGTCTACCTCATGCAGAGAACTCAGATCCTGCACGTCCATGCCCTCAACGACTGAAGACTTCTCATTGCTCTCTCCACACATGGTCGCCCCTTTGACACGTCTGTTCCTTCTCTTTTTCCTCCCTCTTGGCTCCAGTTCCGCCACTCCGCCATCTTGCGGGTGCATGAGCACAACACTCCGTTCGTCTTCCATATTCCGCAGATTTTGTTCTAAGCTTCGGCACCGCTTCGTAAGCTCGCACACAAGATCATTCTGTGCAGCAACCCTCTCACGGAGCTCCACAAGTTGCGACATCCACTTCCCCTGCAATTCCCGCATCATGACATCCAGCATCTGATTGCTTGACGCCATAAGTGTATTGCTCTGCTCCTCCAGCAAACCACGAACGACATCCAGATCCAGACTCATCGCCAATCCAGGCGGAACGTCTTCCGGTTCCATCCGTAAGGCGCCGAGAGGCGGAAACACACGGGGGGGCCGTTCAGCTTGAGCTTAACCTTGGTTTAGGGTATTTAGGAGTTTAGGGTTTAAGGTTTAGGGCTTACGCTCTCGCACTAAGCCAGACGAGGTCTCTCGGTACGACGACTCACTACGAGGGTGAAAGAGTTCAGGAACGACCGCCGAGTTGGACAATATAACAAATGTAATGAATCGGGGAGGGGTGGGTTTACGCTCTCGCTCTCGGACATGCTTGACGAGGTCCCGGTCTCCACAAGTACTTTGACTGGTCTGCACTAGAAGCTGATGATCAGTTGGGCACAACAGGAGCACCGAACATTGCCAAAAAGCTGCATGTTCTAGCAAATAAACACTCTTCAGCCGTTGTCTGGTCTCCACTACTTGAACTTATGGCAGCTTCCCACTACAAAAGGCATAGAACATATATGATGAAGCCAAGCAGAAATATCCGATATACACCACAAGAAGTATTTGTAGTCGGAGCTGGTTTTCGCTAGGAGCCAAACAAACTCAAAGGCCACCGTACTAATAATAGGGTTTAGGGTTTTGGCTTGCAACTGTTTTTTTCATCGGGTTTCAGCACTCACACTCGGGCATGCCTGGCGAGGTTCCTTTGCATCGGGTTTCGACTCGCACGCTCGCTCAACGCAGGCAAGGATTCACGGGGTCGGGTTTAGGGATTGGTTTGGGGTCCTGCGTCCCGGATGCGATTGCGTGTCCCCGAGCCTGAAAAGCTTTCCTGATGAAAACCCTCCTGCTGCAACCTGCAGCCCCTTCAGGCCAAGGCACTGACAACGCCAAAAAGAAAAGCTGCAACGAGCCACTTCATCGGCATGTGCGGGGCTTAGGATTCACTGGAGGATGAAAACGATGATGCACGATGATGGCTCGGTACTGCAAGTACTGCTGTCTTGCGCAAGTCTCATTCATGCTAGTGCTCCTGCCATCAAACCATGTCTGCAACTGCAACGGCGCCACTTCTGGAGCCGGTTTCAGCAAGCGTCGGAAGGATAGCTAGTCAGCACAAGGCACAAGTGGTAGTTCGGAGTGGAAACTGTGGGTGCTGCAGCATAGTAGTAATAGTAGTAGTAGTAGTAGTAGTAGTAGTAGTAGTAGTAGTAGTAGTAGTAGTAGTAGTAGTAGTAGTAGTAGAACTAGTAGTAGTAGTGGAAGTAGTAGTAGAAGTAGTAGTAGTAGTAGTAGTAGTAGTAGTAGTAGTAGTAGTAGTAGTCGTGGTGGTGGTGGCAGTAGTAGTAGTAGTAGTAGTGGTAGCAGTAGTAGTAGCAGTGGTAGTAGTAGTAGTAGTTGTTGTTGTTGTTGCCGTTGTTGTTGATATTGTAGCATCCGCAGTCGTAGTCGTAGTGACAGTAGTAGTCGTCGTCGCGGTCGTGTCGTGGTCGTGGTGTAAGTAAAAGAAGTAGTACTAGTTGTTGTAGTAGTTGTAGTAGTTGTAGCAGTTGTAGTAGTTGGAGTAGTTGTAGCAGTTGTAGCAGTTGTAGTAGTTGTTTTTTTTTTTTTTTAAAGTTAGGTTGACGGTCTCTTTGTGCGCCTGCCCGCGTCGGCTCCTAACTATCCTCATCTGGCTTGTTTCACATCCCAGGAGGTTTCAAAAGACGTGTTCGCCCCAAATAACTCTCACAGCCTTCTCAGTCCAGGCGTCACGCCCAGTGTGGACTACGACTACACACACAAACCACCTGCACAGTCAGCTCAGTTCAGGTCTCAAGCCCCGCGCGGGCTACGACTACGCTCACGACTTGACTCACTATGCATCACCCCTGTCATCACTTCACGGACACTACCTCTACCTCTGGTTTGTAGTAGTTGTAGTAGTTGTAGTTTTTGGTAGTAGTTGTAGTAGTTGTAGTAGTTGCAGCAGTTGTAGTAGTAGTAGTAGTAGTAGTAGTAGTAGTAGTAGTAGTAGGAGTAGTAGTAGTAGGAGGTAGCAAGTAGTGAGTAGAAAGTACTGAATAGGAAGTAGTGAGTAGAAAGTAGTAACTGTCGTCATCATCGTCGTACCAGGAGGAGTAGGAGGTAACAGCAGCAGCAGTAGCCGCAGCAGCAGCAGCGGCAGGCGGCAGCAAAGAGCAGGAGCGAGTAAGAGTAGTAGGAGAAGTAACAGCAGCAGCAGCAGCAGGAGCAGGAGTAGTAGTAGTAGTAGTAGTAGCAGTAGTTGTTGTTGTTGGAGGATGAGTGTGAGTAGGAGTAGGACTTGGAGTAGCAGTTAGTAGGAGTAGCGGCAGCTGTGGACGCAGCAGTTTTTGGAAGCAACGAAGCACCAGTCGCAGCAGTGGTGGTTGGCAGCAGTGGTGGTTGTCACACCACTAGCTAGCCGAGGCTGTGGTGTAGTGACAGTAGTGGGAGAGAGTTTCATTGCACGGCTGTTGCCATTTACTTGAACCACGAAGTCTTCGAGCTTGCCTCTCTCAGGCGAATCTTTCAGGGATCCCTGTCAGAAAAATCTTACTACTCTTATTCGTGTCTGGATTCTGCCTGGCCTGATAGAGATTGCATCTCCATGCTCATGCTTCTTGGACGAGTGACTAGGCGACCCAATCGCACCACCGCACCAGAGGATGAGCGGCACTTTCAAGCAGCATTTCAGAGCGGTCGGGAGTCTACGAAGAGGGCCCAAAAAAGACCGGGCATGAGGGCTTGTAGAGTCTTAGGTCCATTCCAACAGTGCTGCATAGTACAAGTCTCAAGACTTCTGGTTTACTTTCAGCAGGCGGTTGAAGCAGCCGGTTGTCCCTGCTCAGCTGGTACGACCTCTCTTTCGCCACTCTGCCATACGGTCTTTTGCAAGGAGGGCTATAAAACCAGACGACGCGCGAATTCACCTCTGCCACGCGGAACGAAGCACGACTCCAAGAATTGGGATGATTCGGGCATCGACTGGGGGGGATTCCGGGCCTGATTGTCGTCCGTGCTTAAAACAGCTTTGAAGTCAGGAATTCAGGGGAGAGTTTCCTGCTTTGTACGGCCTTCAATGGTTCGGGCCTTTCCCTGAACCAGACTGCAAACTGTTATCTCTAAACAAGGCCTGCACCGGTAATGGTAAACCAGCAGCACTCATCATGGAAATATTGTATGGATGAACGGGCAGTCCCGCGAAACAAAACCTGCACGAGTCTGAGAGCTGGAAAAGGCCGCGTGCTCACGGAATGGCCATGGATTTGGGTTGACTGCTCACGGGGCCAGCACCAATTCGACGCAAAGCAACGTCTCGGCATACTTATAACTGAACCAAGAGGTGGAAGTTGTCACTCAAATGGGCAAGGACCAGCCAGCTCCGCTGCTGCTGTAGTTGTTCTAAAGCAGCAGCAACAGCAGCAGCAGCTTCAACAACTGTAACAACAACGACAACAACAACAACAACAACCCAAGCGACAACAGCTGCTGCTACTACTACGATTGTCACTGCTACTACTACTACTACTACTGCTACTACTACTGCTACTGCGACTACGACTACGACAAGTACCAACACCACCTGCTACGATGACTACTACCACTGGTAACTAGTAGACTACTGGCCATAAGTAGAAGCAGCACACGACCTTCTCCTGGCCTGTGCCCAACCAGTGTTGGGGTGAACCAGATAAGCAAAGCGCAAGGCAACTACTGAGTTATCAGAGATGTCGCCCACAACCTTCAGTCTAGACTGCGCAAGACCGTGCCATGTCGGTTGCCGACAGCATGGTAAAGCTGAGAATTGAGAACATCAGCCGTGAAGAAAATTTGTGAGCACTTGTCACACTGTCGCAGAGTCGGCACTCTGTCATTCAGCCCTGTGGCCCAACGGTGATGAAGAAGCCACAGGCATGCAGGGTACCCAGCCTCTTTCTCTTCGGGAATTAAATACACATGTCCTGTACGAAACTCAAGCAACTTTAAACGAAGAGGTGGGTTTAGATCCCAAACGTGGATTCGTCGGAGCCATCAGTGAGGGACAGATTGATCATCAACAGATCTTCCACATCCGCACTCTCCAAGGTGGTACCTGGCTTTTTCTGGAAAAGATGTTTCGGGCTAATATAAGGGCCTTCATAATTGGAATGGGGTTTGGGGGCTATTTTATCCTATAACCCTATTGCTAGGAATCCCTTCTTGCTTCTCTTCTAAATGCGGAGTTTTTAAAAAACTCCGCGCCTGGCAAGACGCTCATGGAAGGTCTCGTGCAGAGCGCCTCCCGTTTCTGCGAGAGGCGTTCTACGATAATCTTTGCCTGGAGATCCAGCTGCCTTGCATTGGAGCTCCTGGCAATGACCAACCGTCTCAGTTTATGTCTCCCTTACAGCTGTCCTCACAACGATAGCCGCTGTCCTTGGTGCTAGTGCTATTGCTGGTTGTGTTGATGCTGCTGCTACTCTTGCGGTGTTGCTCGTACTGGTATGACTGTTGTTGCCAGCTTTCTTGTGTCGTTGTCGCCGGTGTTGGTGGGGCCTCAGTTCCTTACTCTTGCGATTCTTGCTCTTGTTGTCCTGGTCGTGGTCGTGGTGGTGGGTGGTTGCGGTAGTGGCTGTGGTTGTTGCTGTGTTTGTGGTTGTGGTTGTGGTTGTGGTTGCGGTTGCGGTTGCGGTTGCGGTTGGGGTTGCGGTTGTGGTTGTTGCTGAATTTGGGATTGGGGTTGGGGTTGCAGCTGCGATACTGGAAGTGTTAGCGGTGGTGGTAGCTGGTGTTGGTGTTAGTGTTGGTGTTAGTGTTGGTGTGCTGATGGTGCTGATGGTGCTGCTGGTGCTGCTGGTGCTGCTGCTGGTGCTGCTGGTGCTGCCGGTGCTGCCGGTGCTGCTGGTGCTGCTGGTGCTGCTGGTGCTGCTGGTGCTGCCGGTGCTGCTGGTGCTGCCGGTGCTGCCGGTGCTGCTGGTGCTGCCGGTGCTGCTGGTGCTGCTGGTGCTGCTGGTGCTGCCGGTGCTGCCGGTGCTGCTGGTGCTGCTGGTGCTGCTGGTGCTGCTGGTGCTGCCGGTGCTGCTGGTGCTGCTGGTGCTGCTGGTGCTGCTGGTGCTGCCGGTGCTGCTGGTGCTGCTGGTGCTGCTGGTGCTGCTGGTGCTGCCGGTGCGCTGGTGCTGCTGGTGCTGCTGGTGCTGCTGGTGCTGCTGGTGCTGCTGGTGCTGCCGGTGATGCCGGTGCTGCCGGTGCTGCCGGTGCTGCCGGTGCCGCCGGTGCTGCTGGTGCTGCTGGTGCTGCTGGTGCTGCTGGTGCTGCCGGTGCTGCTGGTGCTGCCGGTGCTGCTGGTGCTGCCGGTGCTGCTGGTGCTGCTGGTGCTGCTGGTGCTGCCGGTGCTGCCGGTGCTGCTGGTGCTGCTGGTGCTGCCGGTGCTGCTGGTGCTGCCGGTGCTGCTGGTGCTGCTGGTGCTTCCGGTGCTGCTGGTGCTGCTGGTGCTGCTGGTGCTGCTGGTGCTGCTGGTGCTGCTGGTGCTGCTGGTGCTGCTGGTGCTGCCAGTGCTGCTGGTGCTGCTGGTGCTGCTGGTGCTGCTGGTGCTGCTGGTGCTGCTGGTGCTGCGGTGCTGCTGGTGCTGTGGGGGGGGGGGCGGGGCTGGGAGCGGTGGGGGGGGGTGGGGGTGGTCTTGTTGTCGTTGCAGTTGTCCCCGAGGTCATGGAAGCCGAACTTCTCAACATCCAGGAAAAGAGGCTCCAGGTGGCCCACGAGGTGTACAGGCGCTCCCGCGAGGCCGGATCCGACAAAAGACATACGTCGCTATACCAACAAAATTATCATCTACTCCTTAAGAAAATATATATATATATATATATATATATATATATATGCTTCTTTATTTATTTTTATGTATCCATCTATCTATTTTCTTGTATATATATATATATATACATATATACATATATATATATATATATTTTTTTTATTTATTTATATATATATATATATATATATATATATGGTACCCCCCCCCTCCGGTACCTACCTTTTCGGTGTGGTGATCAATATTATATAGGCTTACGCGTGCACTGGTCTCGATTGGTACCAGGGTGGGGAGGTGCCCGACAAGCCCTATTTGTGTCTGCACGCCCTATCTGTACTGACAGTGCTATTAGTAATAACGTCACCGTATTAAAGTAATTAGCCTCCTGGGCCGTCCGCCGCTGTGACTCGTGATACGTGAAGCCGGGGCCGATTCAAGTTGAATCGGCCCGATTCAAGCTGAATCGGGTCTCGGATTGAAGATTCAAGATTCAAGATCTCTGGGAAACTTCTTCCAGGGATCTTGAATCTTGAATCTTCAATCCGGGGCCCGATTCAGCTTGAATCGGGCCGATTCAACTTGAATCCGGCCGACTCTGCTCCAAGTGCATTCGCCCAAAAATTCCTCCCGCAGTCTCTCTTGGATCATGCCCCCATCTAGCTTCCTGTGACACTCATGTTGATCATGAATAATGGATTTCCCATAAAAAGAACAGGGGCAAACGAGTGTACTACTGCGGAACTGAGGTTTGTACAGTTACGGCTTATCGGGCACCTCCCCACCTCGGCACCAGCGTAAAACACTCCAAGCGTGGGCCTATAGTATTGCTAAACAACACACAGAAAAATGTTGATCTTTTTGGCGAACCTCAGCCTAGCCTCGTATAAACCTTGCCTTAGTAGTAGCTTGGATAACCCGGCTATTCTGACTCATGTTTACCCGATAGAGGCGCCTTGTAGCTCAACACCATAGATATTGTGGAAAAAATGCGATGCCGACTAATAACCTCACCAGTCGTTCGCATGTCAACTCGCATACCCACCAGAAATCGGAAATTTGCCTATCTAACATCATAAACTAACCCGGTTAGCACCCCAGATACTAAAGTTTCCCTTCAACCGTAATATGTGAGTCTAAGATGGACTTGTTCGCACACTTAATATCACTTATAAGCTATCCCTACTGCAATTCTTCGTAACGTACCTAATACTGCTCTCGGAAGCGAACCTAATAATTACTCCCCTGAAGTCATGGACCCCGAAGTTTAAAAGTCATGGCGACCCCAATCTTAGTTAGATACTACGTTTATTGGTACAGGTAAGCTAGATACGGCCCAAGTACTAACCCCCGCGGTAACCATCAGATTCATACTAATAATAGTATGAGCCGCCCAACCATTTTGCTAAGCATGAACCTCAACTTTCTCAAAGTGTGGCATTGCTCTATTGATGGCCTGTAGATTTAAGGATGATATTTGTACATACTTGCGTAACCCAATATACAATGATAGGTCCCTTCTTACTGTAGATGCTCATGTCGGGCTTCAACATCAACCCTAACACTATCCTTGCCATTAATCTTTATGTCAATGCTGACCCGAATATTCGGCCTGATATAGCCTTCAGACTCTCCATCGTCGCCTCAGTGCGACCTATAATATAACCCCAGTGTTTCTCTTACAGAAAGGGCTACCATGGGGCCTGCGTTTGGGACACATCACGTTTCGCGGTTTCGCAGCGATTTGTTTCACATCATCTTGTTATCCTATGCTTGTATAAACAGTGCTGGGTTATTTACTGTCCACTCTTATGAACAACCTTAGTCAGAGCTGTGTGATAAGATAACCGTGATATCTTGGTCTGTGTTACACCTGCTGGCTTTTTGCCTCCTGAGCTCGCGCCTGCTCCAATATGCCACTGCTTCCGCTGCAAATACACATGTAGTCTGTCTGCAGCAAATACAGCACTTTCTGGCACATAGGTGACAAATACTGGAAAAGCATGATGCAGCAGACGCATTTGAATGTAGGTGGCAACGGCTTATTGGCACCCACATGGTGCAGTATTCTTTGCAACCTAGATTCCGAAAACTTATACCCAAAAGCACACAAACCGGAAAAAGGTAGGTACCGGAGGGGGGGGGTTGCATATATATATATATATATATGTATATATTAACCTGTTCTTTCCTTCCTTTCTGTTCAATAGGAATATATTTCGAAATCCATGCATTCAGGTCCAACTCCAGGCCGACCAGGAGGCTGAGAAGGAGGGAGCTACCAGGGACCTCGAGGAGCACAGGGAGCACATGGACGAAATCAGGGAGACGTCTGATGCTGAATGGGAGGAAAAAATCTTGGCGGAGGTGGAGGAGAGAAGGGCCAAGAGGTCGAAGACGAGAAGGCAAGATGCTGGTGTTGTTGCTGCTGCTGCTCTCGCTGCTGGTGTTGCGCTGTTGCTGCTGTGTTGCTGGTGTTGCCGGTGTGGCTGGTGTTACCGGTGTTGCTGCTGCTGCTGCTGCTGCTGCTGCTGCTGTTGTTGATATCCTTACCCTGACAAGTCCCATACTGCGGATTAGTCTGTGCTTCAGTACTGGCTTGTTCATTCCTGGTCGTACATGGCAGCTGTACATATTCTCGTGACAACTGTCGTCCTCGGCCTATGCTGCTACCACGGATTTTCCAGCATGACAACATTGTCGCAGCCATCACCGTTGGTATTATTGTCAGCAATACTTTCCTCATTCTCATCATTACCGTTTCATCACCATTCCACATTCATGCTTCTACCCATGCTTCATCGCCGCATCCCTTGGAACCCCGATCCTGGGCATGAAAGGCACCGAGATCTCGTGGAAGACGGCCTCAAGGACCTGGGTGTAGAACTTCATGTCCGAATCATCAAACTCGTCGGAGGCGCCAGCAAGCTTGTTGTAACCAGGGTAAGGGAACTGAAAGGAGTCCTCTGCGACAACTGGCAGGATGAAGCTGGAGTGGAGCCGGCCCAGCTGTAGGAGCCAGAGAGCCACCTGCGGGACCTCCAGACACCCGGCTGTGCAGAGCAGCAACGCCTGCGCGGTGCCCGAGGCAGACAGAAAGTCGGCTGTGTCCCCCGGTCGCATCACACGTAGCGATCCCTTGAAGGACAGCTCCAACATCTTTGCACCCAGCACCATGTAGAGGGCATAAGCTGCGGCCTGTGCCTCCATGTGCGTTGTATCCGCTAGGATGAGGTACGTGCTCCGATCGACACTCATAGATCGGCTGGCCTCCACGACGGAGGGGTGTCTCTTCGTGCTATCATTGCCGACCAGCCATCCGACCGTGCGTGTGAGCATCTCCGGTTCACCTCCCTCGAGGTCAAGGCGTTCCACCGAATTCAACCATGTGAGAGTGTCTTGAACCTGTCCAAGGCCTATGGCATGGACGGCCAGCTCCTGCACGCGCGGCACGAGGCTCTCGTAGGCTTCCACAAAATGCCGATCCGGCATAACAAAATTGGGTAAAGCAAGAAGCACAACCTCAACACCGTGGGCCTTGGCTGTCACCACCTCACCGACACACCACCTCTGCAGCAAGAATTCGCGGCCGGCCACGACCACCAGTGTGTCGACATCCTGGGCGATGCTGGTGAAATGTTGCGTCAGGTCCGCCAGATCATCAGAGCCAATAAAGGTCCGCAAGTTGTGCCTTTGCTGCAGCTCGAGCTTCAGCAAGCGTGCCAATGTCCCTGCCTCGGGCGTGTGGTGGCTGAGGGCGAAGCGGAAGCGCCGGTGCTTTGAGAAGCGGCGACGCGCGGCCCAGGCCACAACCAAGATGCCCCAAACGAGCATGATACAGCAAGCCACGATGCAAATGATCATTAGCGTATAGCCCTCTTCTAGGAGGGGTGCATAGAACTTTCCCATGTCCAAGACCAGCAGCAGGCCAGCGTGCATCGCCAGATCCGTGTACGTGGCCAGCTTCGTCCGCCACGGTTGCCAAAATGCCGCCCCACAGAGTGTGATGTAGAGGGATATGCAGAGCACTAGCAAACTACCAGCCTGGGATGCAATCAAAGGAGAAAATGTCAGGAGGACGTTCCTGATCAAGACAACCACTGCGAAGACTTCCACCCCCGGACGGTATCGCAGAATCAGGAAAGAACAGGCATTCACAAAGTCGACGTCGGCCCTTTGAATGCGCTTCGGGAGATCGATGAGAAGAATCCGAAAACAGATGGCGAGGAAGGCAATCGGAACCTGACACATGACAATTGCGACCATGCATATCTCCAGGTGCTCGGCCCGGAAATTGCAGAGCACATCATGACGGGAATGCATGGTCCTGTCTCCATTCGGATGCGAGTAGCAATAGAAGGGCTCCAGAAGTGAAGACATGATTGAAATGAGGAAGAGCATGGAGAACGAGCCACAAGTCTTCCCCAGCAAATCTAGGCGCAGGCCGCTCCTGTTCCAGCAAATGTAGGCAAAGTGCACAGGCAACAAAGACGAGAAAAAGGCCAGTGGAAGCAACGACGCTGCCGTCAGATACTCTGCCACTGCTGACGATGGGAGCACGCATTGAATGGAGCTGAAGGAATACACCAGTGCGTCCAATGACAGGTACTCCGATGCCTTCAACAGAAGCGAGAAGGGCTCCTGCACGAATGAAAGTTGTAAGCACGTGGGAAATCAGCAACTGTTTGGAAATGAATCATGAATGCTCCGCATTTCGTCAAAAGGACATCAAACAATGACGTACGTAGGACTTGTACTAGTATACCGGCAAATCACCGAAACTGGAAGCACGCAACAGGAAGGGTACTTCGCACAATGCATCCCAAAGGATTTCCCTTTCGAGATGCAAATGCCCGCACCCATCCGCACCCAAAACAGGGGAGTTCACAGACAACACATGTGAGCAAACTTGCAGCATCCAACCACTGAAGATATCTAGCAAGGATCTAAGAGCAAAAGCAATGCAGTTCCTATCCAAACCAGGGCCCGTTGGGCGTAGAGAAAGAAGCAAAACGCAGAGCATCCATCGGAAGAAGGGTTATGCAAAGATCCATAGCATTGGTCGATATGCAAACATGCGAAAGCAAGAAAGTCCATATCACCGCACAACAAGGGGAGAAACGCAGCAGGACGATCGCAGCTAAAATTCCTACAGTAGTAGCAAGGCTATCTGGGAAACGAGCATCCCTCGAAGGGAACAAATACAGTAGATAATGTTTCTGTGTATACATGTACAGATATGTAAACATAAAATAATGTGTACATATAAGCATGTGTATCTACGCATATGCACATATGTATATATATATATATATACATATATATATATATATATACATATATATATACATATATATATATATATACACATGCGTGTGTGTGTGTGTGCGTACTGACATTTATCGGTACAGCTACTGTTAAACTTGCATTTAGATCTATACTTACGTCTGTCATATACATATAATAAGCCGTTACATACATGATCGCCCATCTTCCTCAGGCACGGCATATGTTTAGGTAAGCCCTGCTTCACGTGAACTCACACCAGGGTTCTCTAAACTGCTACACCGTGCAAGCAGGCCTCCCACGGAATCCGCAACCTTCGCATGATGCCAAACACCTGCGCGCACATCACCAACTGGTTGAAGCCCAATGCCACATTCAGCAGGCTCCCATGCTGCCTGCCACGGCCGGCTGACTGCTCCTCTGCGATCAGCCACGTATGCAGACAGCCCACAATCAAAACCCCGAGCAAGCAAAGGCCAACGACGATGGCAAAGTCGGTAGCAGCGCATTCGCGGCACTGGCCGTCCTCTTGTGGCTGGAATCCTGGCAGGCACTGAGCACATGCCAGGCTCCGGTTGTCGCGGCCTGCCGCGCAGCTGCCGGGAAAGCCACCCGGGCAGCGTTGCGAGTTGCCAAAGCAACGGAAAACGTTGCCGGGATCCTCGGGGAAAGCGAAGAAGCCCGGGTTGAGCGTCAGGTTCGTATGTCCAAGACAAGTCGCACCCTCCAGGCACAACTCGCATTGGCCTTGCCAGAGGTGACGGCCTTCTACGCATGCACAGACGTCTTTGGAGGTGGCCCCGTCCAATTCGATCCACCGGCGAGCACCGTCGCCCTTGCTGCCGTCGTCCAGATGACTCGCCAGCTCCTTGGTGGTCCAGCCCTCGTTCCCACAGCTCTGGCAAGCCGTGTGGCCGACCTCGTCTGCAAAGGTACCCAGCGGACAGAGACCGCATTCTGTCGCGCCTGCCTCATTTGTTGCATGGCCCAAGTCGCAGTCATTGCACCTAGCCTGGTTACCAAACTCCTGGTAAGTGCCCGGAGGGCACAGGGCACAGCGGTAAGTGAAACCGTCGCTATCCACGAGAGGCTCTGAGAAACGACCAGGCGAACATACGCTGCAACCGTCCGCATCCGCGCCGCGAGTGAGAAGAAACTCGCCACCTGGGCTGGGCAACATCCCGAAGCCTGAAGGATTGGAATAGGGTTGGGGGGTCAAAAATGATAAGAAGGAGCCCTGAGCGGCATAGCATTACTAATTGTGATCCCCGCCTGCATCAGCAACGCCCGACCCTGGGTCGCAGGTCGTTGGTAAAGGAACCCATTTCCTCCACACGGACTCACTGGACCTGACCCAGTCACAGGCTGCACGGAAGATCACGTCGTTTCCTTCCCCAAGCGGATCATTGGGAGAGATGCCGCCCTCGGCAAGGACCTGAACCACCTCCTCCAGGATCCGAATGTCGAAAGCAAACCTCTCGATCAAGGTGTAGACTCGAGGCACCTTGATCTGGAGATTCGAGCTGACCAACTTCCCTACATACCCGGGTGGCTCCTCCGTTCTCCGCAAACCCATGGCCCACTCGCTGGCGTTGTGCACTGGAAGGATGAGTGGCACCTTGTCTACGTCAAACCTGCGCTGCTCAGTCTTGAGAGTCTCCGAAACAAGGGGACCCTAATACAGTACCCTAAATAGTAGTAGGATCCATAGTATAAGGACCCCAAAATAAGGTACCCCTAGTTTTCGGAAACTCCCTCTTGGGAGCAGAACTTCAACCTGGAACGGAAGGGAGTTCGTTCAGCCCAGGTACCGGTAGTTCTCCGGTTCCCACCAATAGAACAAGGTCTTCCCGTACTTCATCTTCTCGAAAAAGTCGTACACATCGTCGTAGCTTCCAAAGGCCAGTGGCAAGCCAATAGCAGTAGACCTCGATGAGAATGGATTTCACATCTTAGGCTCTGTACAGGGGTGCTCTCTGGTGTCTCGCTAGTACACAGCGATTGGTGGCAAGCCCTAGGGACAGGCACTAGTAAGGTTCCCCTGGGGGACCCCTCTCAGCACAGCGGCCAGTGCATCATGGAGAGCCAAAGATAAGCTCCGAAGGTGACCGTGGCAATGCAGCTCGTCACGTTGTGCCGGCACGCTGGTGCGATCCAGAAACGCCCATCAAGGCACCGAGCTTGGTAAGATCCGCCTGGTTCCTGAATGACCCCATCCACGTCGCCGGTCCATTCGAGGTAAGAGGCCAGCTGACTACCTGGGCTCTTGAGGAACCGATTTAGAGAAACTCAGAGCTTAGGCTATTGTCTCCGACTTCGCAAGGATTTGCGAAACGTACCACTCGCACACTCCTTCACAAGGATTTAGGTTCAGCTCTCAAACGAGGTTCCTGGTACGTCGACAGCACTTCGACCCAACGCGACGGCCGATGAACCGAAGAGGGTTTTGGGTTTGTTGCGCCCTCAGAACTGGGACTCGCCAGATGAGGTTCCTCCTCGAGTCTTGGGTTAAGGGCTCAGGAACTGCACCATTCGTTTCAAGCGCCACAACAGGGAAAGCCTACCATGCACAGACAACTACTGTGGCAGCTCCAAACCGGATGCTGTAACAAGCGCCCAGATACTGGAGGGCATCCAGCGGTTGAATGTGCGGTTGCAGGTTTCGAAGAGGCTGAAGTTCAAGGAGTCCAGCCCATCGAAATACTTCCTCGCTTCGTGGTGTGTGGTGTTGTAGCTGCCATGCAAGTTCAGGATGAAGCCATCCTTCGGAAACAAGAGCCATAGCAACAGTAGGGTTCCTTTCGACTATAAGAGTTAACGCCCAGTATACTATAGCTATAACAAGGAACCCCAAAAATGTATAGGTAATCATTAAGGCCCCAATAGTAGCAGCGGCCTCAAGAAGAGCCGCAATGACCCTTGTTATGGCTATCAGCATGGTTGAGTCGGCAGTCAAAGCACTTCTTGTCTACGCAGCATCAAGAATGATTCTACCACTCAGCCCAGGCATTGTGTGCCCCAGCCCTTGTGAAACTCCCAAGTAGCACCCGTGTTCGGCTAGACGTGACAATGCCACTCATTCATCCTACATGGCCACATTGGGGACTCTTCCTCGGCGGAGCCTGCATCGAACCCGAAGCTGCTAGGAGCTTCTTCCCACACTCCAGACACAGTACCCAGAAGCAGTATCAAGAGGAAGACTGGCAGATACCAGAAGAGAGCAGCAGTGGTGGCAATAATGCCGAAACACCACAACACAACAACAAACATCTAAACAAAAGAGGTCCCTTCACTGCAAGCCCTGACACCTTCAAGGAGATTGGAGGAGGTAAAGTCATTCAAGAGCCCCGGAGCCCCATCAATCCCCGCTCCTCCAATGCTGCCTGCACCTGCGCTCGTTTCATGTAGAGCTGCTGTCGACCGCGATACCTCTGCTAAAGACTAGGTAGGGGGGGGCTCTTCAAGGCAACTGTTAACCGGTAGTTTGTAGTATACCATGATGTGCAGCAAAAATCATAGAACGCCGCTCAATATGAAAAACACATTGCTACAAGAAACATAACGCAATATATGACAACACAACATAAGAAAATAACATAAACCACAAAAACGATGGCGTATAATTCGATGGAACAAAAGATACCACAATACAACAACTTACAAATATGGTAGGAACGACTTTATGACATGATGTAACTCAGAGAACCATACTATACGTTAACTTGCTTGACTCGGTGCTGAGGCCGAGGTGCATGGAAACAAAACCAAACAAAACATCACACAATATGATACCGTATGATGAAAACTATGAATAACATATATACTGGTACAGACCCTATATATATATATATACATGTGTATATATATATATATATAGATATGTGTGTGTATGTACCAACAGATCAGAACAGGTAAAGGCTACATTACAATGCAATGCAGATGCAGTGCACAAAACGGCTAAGACCAGATTAGATAATGTAAGACCATAAGAACATACTCACTAATGAAACGAAAAGTATCATGAAACAATAAAGAAGAACTATATATCGGAACATGCTACACCACATAGTACCATCATAAGTTCAACAATGTCACACCGTCTAATGTAACAATATATACGGAAGGCACTATAACAGCGAATACTTTATAAATGTGACATAACAGAATATGATGCCATATAACACAATAGCTTTACATGAGATCTTGTATTTTTTGCCGCCCTTCTGGCTCGTACGAACCTCAAAAGAGTAAAAGGATAGGATAGATTTGAGTGTCCTTCCATGAGATATTTTCTTGATATGCTATAAAGCAAGGTAAGAGAATGCAGGATAAGACAAGATAAGACCGTAAAATATAGTTATGTGAGTCATATGGCTTGCTTGCTTTTCTCAAAGCTCCCTCCGGTCGGTCTCGGTGAGATTCCTGGGGCTTCTCGTGAAGCGTTTTGACCCACATAACATCCGAAAACCCTGCACTCATCTAGACCCTGAACCTTTTTTGTGAACCTGGAGCTAGAGCTCGGTGCCCTTTTTGCAACGTCACGCCAGGACAGCTTGCGCTGAACCCGAAACCCCTAAACCCCCTTTGGCATCCGGTCTGCAGCGACTCAAACCCCTAAACCCCTCAACCCCCAAACCCCTAAACCCCTAAACCCCTTTTGCCTCTGAATCTGCCCATTTTTCCACTCCAAGGGGCCCCATCGAGCCGAGCTCCCTTGGGCTGTCCTGGCAGCACTCGTCGAGGCTGTGATGGAGATTGGTGAAGGCACTCTCGTAGCTCCTCGTCCCAATTCCTGCAAGGCTTACCTTTGGGGAATGGAGGAATGGGGTACAATTATAACTACTATTACTACCATCCTTCCATTCCCTACTAACCAAAGGTAAGAAGGGGGGTGTCACATCCAGTCTTGGAGAAGTCCACAGATCCTAGGACCCCGAGCTTAGGGCTGGAACCACCTCCCAGCAGCCTGCGTCCAAGGCTATGTGAAATCGATTCTCGCCGGGGATGCACGGTTGCGTGAACCAGGCCCTCCAATTGATATCACTGCATGCAAGCCAGTAAGAAGCTTCCTGCCAAGTGAAGCTGTATAAGGTTTGTTTGTAGCCCACGTGGTAGCCCAGAACCTCCGTAATCAAGATGGCGGCAACTTGCGACACCGCTTTGGAAGAGGATCGGAGGTAGGTGAAGAGGCCTATCGGGAGATCGTCCCCTTGCTCGTCCTGCAAAAATGTACGGTTCTCCTCCGCAATACCTGACTCTAAGCACAAGTCAGAGGTGGCCGGCAGCGGCAAGTGCAGCGACAATGCCGCATAAAGCAAACCTGCCATCGCGTTAGCACGCATGGCCACCAGGATCGGCAATGTCTTAAGATTATTCATATTCGTGTACACAGTATTGTTAACTCAAAGTACTACGATTTTCTCCCTGTGAATCCCCTTGGCCGTCTCCTGCCCGTCTGTTGTCTCGATGTCGTTAGCTTCGATGAGTGCACGAAGCTCTCTACAATTTCAGCCGGTCGAGCGGAAAAACTGCGGAATATGCATGATTTCAACCGTCTTGACCCATCTCAAACCAGAACCTACAAAGACCCTCCACAAATTCAACGATACGGTTATAGGCCCAGGGCTTCTTAAGCAGGTTCCTACATCACTGTATCTTTGCTCTCGCCACTTCGGCGGTGATCGAGCATGTTCACTATACTCTTTACCGGCGCGTTAGCTGGAGAAGGCCCCGGCATGCAAGCAGCCCTCGAACGAATGCAGAATCATTTTCAAGTCGCACAGAGCAGACTCGCGAGTCTACCCGAGAGAGCCCCCAAGGACCCTGCATGGGGCTTCGTGGGTCGTGGGTCGTGTTCAAGCTCTACTCCTATCCCCACTCCCTTCTGGGTCCTTTCGGGAGGGCCACTAAAGCCAAAAGTTTGTCGAGCTGGGGATGGTTTGTACCAATCCCATTGGCTCTGATCGTTGAGGAGCAGACTTCCGCGAACTGCGAACCATCACCAGCCTGAATCTTGAACCACAAACACCCTCTGTGAAGCATGCGGAGCCCTCTGAAAAATCATAGATCGACCTAACACGGCAGCAATCAAAGGATCACGGAATTGCCCCTTGCTTAGGAGACAACGCGAGTTGACATGAGTTGATCCTGCGACCGCTTCTGCTGGCGCCGAAGTCACGCAGAAGAAAACTTATTGTCAGAATAACAACAGCAACCACAGTTCCAAAATAATGAACATAAAAGCAAAGATAGCAGCAAAAAGAGTAGAAACAGCTCTGACATAACAACCAGAATCATAACAAGAGTAGTAACAATACGACGAATGCTGATGATGATACTGACAGGAAGGATACCAATAGACTAGAAACAATCACAAACATGCAAGTAATCGTGTTAACGGCAGGGCTATACAAGCAACGAATAAAGAAGTAACTACTGTTATTATAACAATAGAAACGATAGTAGCAACAGCAATATCAAATACTACTCGTAAATATAAGGCAACATGCGACCAACCTGAGAGACCAGCTGCTGGCATGAAGCGTTCGGGATCAACCCTTCGAGGCTCCCTCGGTTACCGAGAGGCCTGAAAAAGCTGAAACACTCAGCCCATGAAAAATGGTATCCCGTGACACATTCTATGGTGGCCTTTCTCTAATTTCAGTGGGGTGTTGGGCTATGCTCTAGTATGATTCAAAGAAGAGCTATATTCAGTTCTCCGCTACCCAGTATCAGTGGCCACAACTTGACGACCCTGTACTCCTCTTCTCAACAGGTAGCCTGTAAGCCACTTGACTACAATCACCGTCGGTGCCACGGGATCCAGGTTACCCGAGCCTCTCGCATTTTCGCAGATTCGCATTCGCACTGCTCTTGTACCTGGTGTGCCACAGTGTGCCCCCCTTTTGTCAAGGAGGCGGGTTAGATCTCGACTGTAGAGTCGGAGCCGTCAGTGAAGGACAAATCGACCATCGGAGAGCCTTCCACGCCCGCACCTGAGGAGTCTTCTCAAATGTCTTCTTGGCCTCTCCGCAGATATAGTAAAAGTAATAATAACAAAAGTGAGATTGTAACAGTAATAGTAATGGTTAGTAGTACCAATGCTAATAGTAATAGCAATTTCGGAAAGGAAGCCTCTCTTGTGCCTGTCTTCTTGGGACCCTCCAAGGGCTCCGCGCCTGGGCAGACGGTCATGGAAGGTCTTGTCTGGAGCGGCTCCCGGCCCTGCGCCACGAGGCGCTCGACGATGATCTTCGCCTGAAGGTCCAGCTGCCTTTCGTTGGAGCTCCTGGAGCAAGACAAAATGTGATTTAGGGTTTAGAGCTTTGGGATTTAGGGTTACTACAAAGGATCCAACAGGGTACTATACGATGGGGCCTAAATAGTTACCAATACTATTTGGCAGGGCTTCTTATTACAAATTATAGTATAATGGGCCCCAAAGCCCTATTCTAATTATTAAGGCCCACGACCGTGCATTCAAGCAAACTTGCTTCTCATCTGTGATTGCAACGAGCTGATGATAACACAACTCTCGTCAGAATTTCGCCTGTGCTGGTACTGTTGTCAAGGCAGATGTTTCATCCTACTACAGGGGTTAGCACCTGGATTTGGGCTTATCGGTTTAATCTGCACCCCCTGTCTTTTCTGGAACTGCTGGTGTGCGATATTGCTTAGCATCGCCGCATGCCTAGGCACACTATCATCATGAATCATTGCTGTGACGAACCTTTTGAGTCATGAAAATCACCAAAGAAAACTTCACTGTAAGAGCCGTGCTTGTTAAAGCTAGAATCATCCGTATCGTGACGACAAACTGCATCTTCCCTTGAATACATTACTGCAATCTCGAGCCCCATGCAACCCTCCCTCCCTCGTCCTGGGCATGAAGGGCACCGAGATCTCGTGGAAGACAGCCTCCAGCACCTTGGTGTAGAGATTTACGTCCAAGCCATCCGATCCGTCGGAGAGGGAACTGCCCGCCAGCTTGCTGTAATCGAGGGCAGGGATCTGAAAGGAGTCCTCTGCGACAACTGGCAGGACGAAGCTGGAGTGGAGGCGGCCCAGCTGTAGGAGCCAGAGAGCCACCTGCGGGACCTCCAGACACCCCGCTGTGCAGAGCAGCAACGCCTGCGCGGTGCCCGAGACAGACATAAAGTCGGCTGTATCCCCCGGTCGCATGACATGTAGCGATCCCTTGAAGGACAGCTCCAACATCTTCGCACCTAGCACCATGTCGAGGGCATAGGCCGCGGCCTGTGCCTCCATGTGCGTCGTGTCCGCTAGGACGAGGTAAGTGGTCCGCTCAACGCTTGTGGAACGTCTGGCTTCCACGACCGAGGAGCGATTCGTAGTACTGATATCGCCGACCAGCCACCCGACTGTGCCTGCGAGCATCTGCGGGTCGCAGTCAACCATGTCCAAGCGCTCCACAGAATTCAGCCACGTGAGTGTGTCTTGAATCTGCTCCAGAGCTATTGCATGGACGGCCAGCTCCTTCAGACGCGGCACGAAAGTCTCGTAAGCTTCGATGAACTGCCGATCAGGCATGACGAAACCGGGTAAAGCAAGAAGCACAACCTCAACACTGTGGGCCTTTGCTGTCACCACCTCACCCACACACCACCTCTGCAGCAAGAAGTCGCGGCCTGCCACGACCACCAGTGTGTCGACATCCTGGGCGATGCAGGAGAGATGTTGCGTCAGATCCGCCAGATCGTCAGAGCCGATAAAGGTCCGCAAATTGTGCCTTTGCTGCAGCTCGAGCTTTAGCAAACGTGCCAACGTCCCCGCCTCGGGCGTGTGGTGGCTGAGGGCGAAGCGGAAGCGCCGTTGCCTTGAGCAGCGGCGCCACGCGGCCGACACCACAACCAAGACGCCCCAAACCAGCATGAAACAGCTGGCCACGAGACAAATGGTCATCAAAGTGTAGCCATCGTCTACTGTGGGAGCATAGAACTTGCCCATGTCCAAGACCAACAGCAAGCCGGCATGCATCGCCAGATCCGTGTACGTGGCTAGCTTCGTCCGCCACGGCTTCCAAAACGCCGCCCCACCCAAAGTGCTGTACAGGGCCGTGCAGAGCACAAGCAAACTGCCGGCCAGGGATGCAATCAGAGGAGACAGCGTCACGAGGACGTTCCGGATCAAGACAACAACCGCGAAGACCTCCACCCCCGGGCGGTATCGCAGAATCAGGAAGGAACAAGCATTCACAAAGTAGACGTCGGCCCTTTGAATGCGTTTCGGGAGATCGAAAAAAAGAATCCGAACACAGGTAGCGAAGAAGGCGATCGGAACTTGACAAATGACAAAGGCGACCATACATATCTCCAGGTGCTCACCACGGAAATCACAGAGCACGTCATTCCGGGATTGCATGGTCCTGTTTCCATTCGGATGTAAGTTGCAATAGAAGGGCTCAAGAATTGACGACAGGATTGAAATCAGGAAGAGCATGCAGAACGAGCCGAAGGTCTTCCCCAGCAAATCCAGGCGCAACCCACTTCTTTTCCAGCAAACGTAGGCAAAGTGCACAAGCAGCAGAGAACAAATGAAGACCAGTGGAAGCAGTGATGCGGCCGTCAAGTACTCTTGCACAGCCGACGTCGGGAGAACGCATTGAACGGAGCTGAATGAATACACCAGCGCATCCAAGGACAGGTACTCCGACGCCCTCAACAAGAGCGAAAAAGGCTCCTGCTTGGAGGATAGGACGGCTTTGCGGCGGGTCTGAGTTCTTGACATTCTAGATTTCTAAAAAAGCAAAGCTATACAGAATGCATAGTAGGCTAAAGCTGGGCTCCAGCGGACCTCCCTTTTTCCTTACCCGAAAGCCCCGCCATGAGGCCTCCCACGGAATCCGCAACCTTCGCATGATGCCAAACACCTGAGCCAAGGTCACCAGTTGGTTGAAGCCCAATGCCACATTCAGCAGGCTCCCATGCTGCCTGCCATGGCCGGCTGACTGCCCCTCTGCGATTAGAGAAGCATGCAGACAGCCCACAATCAAAACCCCCAGCAGGCAAAGGCCAACGACGATGGCAAAGTCCGCTGCAGCGCATTCGCGGCACTGGCCGTCCTCTTGCGGCTGGAATCCCGGCAGGCACTGAGCACATGCCAGGCTCCGGTTGTCGCGGCCTGCCGCGCAGCTGCCGGGAAGGCCACCCGGGCAGCGTTGCGAGTTGCCGAAGCAGCGGAAAACGTTGCCGGGATCCCCGGGGAAAGCGAAGAAGCCCGGGTTGAGCGTGAGGTTCGTAGGTCCAAGACAAGTCGCGCCCTCCAGGCACAACTCGCATTGGCCTTGCCAGAAGTGGCGGCCTTCTGTGCATGCGCAGACGTCCTTGGAGGTGGCCCCACGCACTTCGATCCACCGGCGAGCACCGTCGCCCTTGCTGCCCTCGTCCAAATGGCTCGCCACCAGCTCCTTCGTAGTCCAGCTATCGTCCCCGCAGCTGTCGCAGGCCGTGAGACCTTCCTGGTCTGCAAACGTGCCCAGCGGACAAAGGCCGCATTCCGTGGCGCCCGCCTGATTGGCGACGCGACCCAAGGCACAGAGAGTGCAGCCAATTTGGTTCGCAAACTCCTGGTAAGTGCCCGGGCGACACGTGGCACAGCGGTACGTGAAGCCCTCGTCGTCCAAAAGGGGTTCCGAGAAGCGACCAGACGAACATACGCTGCAACCGACTGCATCGTCGCCACGACTCAGAAGAAATTGGCCACCTGGGCCGGGGCATGCTAGCAATATCGTACAAGATTAGTTTTAATACAGTTTTTTGATTACATGCTGTTAAATCAATACTCTATTTTATTGAGTTTTATGTTTGTGTTGGAGACACTGAAATCAAGAGAGAAGCTGCTGCAACATCCCGAAGAAAACTAGAAGCAACAAGTGCTCTGTGGCATCCCCACCTACATCAGCAAGACCGGACCCCGCGTCGCACGTCGTGGGAATCCATGTCCTCCACAAAGACTCGCTGGATCGCACCCAATCGCAGGCCGCACGATGGATCACGGAGCTTCCTTCCCCGGGACCATCACCGGGCGAGATTCCGCCCTCAGCCAGGCGTTGGTTCAGCTCCTCCAACATCCGAATGTCAAGTGCAAACCTCTCGATCAAGGTGTGGACTCTGGATGCCTTGGTCTGGAGGTTCGCGCTGACCAGCTTCCCCACATACCCCGGGGGCTGCTCCGTCCTCCGCTTCTCCATGGCCCACTCACTGGCATTATACATAGGCAAGAGCAGAGGCACCTTGTCTACGTCAAACCTGGGCTGCTCTTTTTGGGGAAAAAGCCGTTGAGCTTAAAATGAACCTTCGGCCCAGAAACCGGTAGTTCTCTGGTTCCCACCAGTAGAACAGTGTCTTCCCCTCCTTCATCTTCGCGAAGAAGTCGTAGACATCGACGTAGCTTCCCAGGGCCAAGGGCAAGGCATGATAAGCAGACCTCAGATCTCAAAGAAGCCTATCTCCCAAGCGCTCTGCTTTGGCGTTCTGACTTCAAGATCCAGCAGGTTGCAAAACTGTTGCTTGGGAACCTATATCACGCAAGTGACCAATGCATCATGGAGAGCAAAAGGGAGCCTGAAAAGGTGACCGTGGCAATGCAGCTTGTCACATTGTGCCGGCACGCCGGTGCGATCCAGAAATGCCCGTCGGGGCACCGAATCGTGTGGGTTCCGTCTGCATCCTGTGTGACTCCATCTGTGTCCCCAGTCCAATTGATGTAGTTCTCAAGCTCCTCGCTTGAGGGTAGCCAAGTATTCAAGGAGCGGTTGCAGGTGTCGAAGTCGCTGAAATTCAGCGAATCAAGTCCATCGAAGTATTTCCTCGCATCGTGATGCGAGGTGTTGTAGCTGCCGTGCAGATTCAGGATGAGGCCATCCTGCGGAAACAAGACCCAAAATCTGACCTGTTCAGCCTCGGTGAAAACACATCACGTCCACATAGCTCGTGGTACTGGCGGAAACACACGCACACACACACACACACACACAAAAAATAAAAAAGGACAGCCTTCAGCATGGTTTCAATCTTTCTTGAGAACCCTGCAACTAACTGATCTTCACGGGTGCTTCCTGCTTCTCTTGGCACTTGAAAGGAAAAGAAAGCCAGCAACGGGAGCGATGATGAGAGAAGCCATGGCGAGACTGACCACGACACCACAACAAACCACCAGCAACAGCAGAGGCATCAGCAGGAGGAACTCAGAGCCTACAAAAAAGCAGTGACGTCCAAGAGAGCCAGCAAAAATTGCACGATAAAACAGTCGTACTCACAATGCTACAAGTAACAACCACAAGCACATGAATAAATAAGTTTAGACTGGCGGACAAGGCCTGCCCCTGCCAATAGAAACTACAGCACTGGCAGGCACCAGCCAGCGTTGCACACAGATCGTTCGCACTACGTTGAACACGAGACCTGCAAAGCAGCACCTCATCCAGCTTCAACTTGCAAACTTTTAGTTATACATTCTGCCCACGTGAAGCCGTGATATCACAAGCTGTTGCCAAGGAATTCCAGATCAGCCGTGGCAAGCAGAACTAGAAATACATTAGCAAACCGACAAGAACTCTACCAGCAAGAAAATCACAAGTGAAACTTAAACGTGAAATTATTAAACTTCGCCCTTGCACAAGCAGAAAACCCCACGGCTGTAGTTTCATTTCGACCAATGTCTCAACTTCCTTACACATCATATTGGGGCTTAGGGCTTCCTACACAAACTCGTCATCTCCAGAGTCATCACAACCCAGAGGAGGAGGAACCGGAGTGAAAAGCATGAAGCTAATCCAAGTCAGGCCCTGAAACCCTCAAGCATGGCCACAGAGACTCTTCAAAAGTCTGCGCTCAAGCACACAGACAACCCAATCCATAAAGCGCACAACACATCTGCTCAACACTTCACCCGTTCCTCGCGGGCCGCATCGAGCTGCGAGCGTTTCATGTAGATGTGCTCTCGGCTTCGAAACCTTTGCTTCGCTGGTCGGCGGTTGGTTCCATGCGGTTTGAGGTCTGAAGTGGGTCGACGACAGCTTCTCGTATCAGGATCTGCGGACATCGAACTTGTGCCGGAGTGCAGAGATCAAAGAGGCTATTGCGATGGAAGGGTGGGGCGCTACAACCAAGCTCTCCGGCCGCTTCCCTAGGCCGGTCCACCGCTGTTGGACAGGGGGGGGGTCTTGAACCGGGCCCCGACTTGAGCCCATTTCAAACCGAACCCTACTTGGAGGTTCATGGGTAGTTATAAATAGGGTTGTAAGTCCCCTAAAATGGGCTATAATTAGAGCCATTAGAGTTACCCTACTTATAAACCCACTTATAACTAAACATGAAGCTCCAAGTAAACTCCGAAACAACGACGAGCAACCCATTGGAGCCCAGATCTCTTGGACTTCGCTGGCAGCACTCCTGGCAAGAAATGGCATACTTGCCCTGTTATGAGAAAACGCAAAACTCGCAAGCCCCGTTTTTGAACCCGGACTCTTCCAATCAGCTCGTAAACCCTTTTTGCTCAGGCTTGTGTGAAGCCTGGGTGTGTCGCACCTATTCTCTGAACGAGGCCAGACACAGCAGACTTCAGCAACTGTTCTACGAGCTTGCAGGCTGGGTTAGGGCTTAGAGTCGGAGCCCCCCCCGCCGCAGTGCCGACGAAAACGACAACGACGACGGCAGCGTGCAGCAGAAGCGCACTGCAAGACCTGTCACGCCAGCAGAACCAAATCACTGACTTAGAACTCTCGTCGAGCTGACTTTGCCGCTATGTTAAATCACAATGTAAAATCACAAGCCTCAAAACACCAATGAACCCCCAAAGCCTTACACCCAAACCCCACCCCATCCTTCAGAGAAAAGAAAACATTGAAGACTAATGAAAAAACAGAAAAAGAAACATCTTCCAAAACTCTCAAAGCTCCTCCAGCTCCCGGAAGGGTCGGAGAAAGGCCCTTTCGTAGGGCATGGGGCCAAATCCTGTACAGTTACAGGTTCAGGGTTTATGGTTTAGGGTTTATGCGCTCACACTCGGACAGTCCAGGCGAGGCATATGGTTCGAGGTCTGACGAGTGCAACTGCAACTACTCGGGACTGCGTAGCTATAGGGATTAAGCTTTACGGTCGATGGTTTCGGGATTAGGGCAGTCTTTTGACTCCAATCTTTAGTGCGGCTTAGGGCTAAGGGTCCTTAAGGTTTCAAAGTATTGCGGTGTTTCAAGCTTCAGGGTTTCGGCTCTTACGATTTAGAGGTTAGTGCTTGAGGTTTGGGCTTAGGGCTTTAGAGGTGTCGATTCATGGTTTAAATGTTTTTGTTTTTAGGCTACAAAACCTGACTAGAAAAAAGGAAAGTTGTGAGTTCGTTGGAGAGGGAGAGACATGATCACAGATCGTACAGCGTTGGGACATGCAGACACAGCCTACATTGAAGACCCTCTTGCCCCTGCAAGATGTCTCTTCTCCAGTCTCGGAACGCTTCCAAGAAGTCAAGACTCGTGTAGGCTTTTGCCGCAACTACAGACGGTTTTGAGCTGAGGTTGAAGAAATGGCTTGGCCCGGCCTGTGTCCAAAGCTATGTGAACTCGGTTCTCACCAGGGATGCACTGAGAAGTCCCCTGGGCACTGTGATTGACATCCTGGCATGACAGCCAGTATGATCCTTCAAACGACGACCGGTTGAGATACTCGTACTCCACATGGTAGCCCAGCTTCTCGGAAATCAAGATGCCAGCAATGCGCGACATCACTTTGGAAGAGGAACGGAGGTAAACGAAGAGGCCTATCGGGAGATCCTCTCCGTGCTCGTCCTGTATATATGCACGGCTTTCGTTGCCAATGCCTGACGCCAGGCACAAGTCAGAAGCGGCCGGCAGCGGCAAGAGCAGCACCCATGCCACGTAGAGCAAACTTGCCATCGCGTCAGCACGCATGGTCACTAAGATGGGCGATAACGACCTCCTTGGTCCTTCACATGCGTCTCTTGGTTGTCTCACTCATGCCTTTCTGTTCGTCTGACTGCGTAAAAACCCGAGTGAACCAAGTTTTGCGTTGTGAATTTCATCTTAGAAAATGCAACCGGGCTTGACTCGGTTGCGGAAAAACTGCGGAACATGCAAGCAATTAATATACATAAATAAATAAATATGTCTATATATATATATAAGTGTGTGTATGCCTATCTACTTATCCATGTATCTACCTACAAGCACCTATCTGTCTATCTCTCTGACTATGTACAAGTGCATGGATGTGTATGGCTGTCATCGACATTCAGCGGCGGGCTCAACATCTGCGTTTTGCACTAGTAGTGGTGGTGGTGGTAGTAGTAGTCGTCATAGTCGTCGTCGTAGTAGTTGTTGAAGAAATAGCCGTCGTCGTCGTCGCCATCATAATGTAGTAGTAGTCGTCGTCGCGGCGGTGGTAGTCGTGGTAGTCGTCGTCGTTGTTGTTGTGGTGGTAGTAGTAGTAGTAGTAGTCGTAGTAGTCGTAGTAGTAGTTTTTTTTGTCACCTACCTGGCACGGCTCAGCCAGCTGCGCGGGGCTCTATGAGAGCAACGACGACTGGAATGAATTCTGTGAATTGTAGTAGTACTCGTCGTCGTCGTCGTCGTCGTCGTCGTCGTCGTGGTCGTGGTGGTCGTCGTGGTGGTGGTGGTGGTGGCGGTGGTGGTGGTGTGGGTGGTGGTGGTGTGGGTGGTGGTGGTGTGGGTGGTGGTGGTGTGGGTGGTGGTGGTGGTGGTGGTGGTGGTGGTGGTGGTGGTGGTGGTGGTGGTGGTGGTGGTGGTGGTGGTGGTGGTGGTGGTGGGTGGTGGTGGTGGTGGTGGTGGTGGTGGTGGTGGTGGTGGTGGTGGTGGTGGTGGTGGTGGTGGTGGTGGTGGTGGTGGTGGTGTTGGTGGGGGTGGTGGTGGTGGTGGTGGTGGTGGTGGTGGTGGTGGTGGTGGTGGTGGTGGTGGTGGTGGTGGTGGTGGTGGTGGTGGTGGTGGTGGTGGTGGTGGTGGTGGTGGTGGTGGTGGTGGTGGTGGTGGGGGTGGGGGTGGGGGG